AATTTATGAATGATGCAGTGCTAATTGACATATTTATTACATTACAGAAACTATAAAGTATATTTTCTACCTTATTCTGTGCAGAAAATTGAAATAATTGTTTGTAGTGTATAAAACGATCATAAAATTGGCATTAGGAAAAAATTATAGATTACAAATGATTGATTATTGTCCAGCAGTGTATTTGATTTCTTATAGCAAATTCAAAGTAAGAGATAAGAAAATAATTCCTTGTAAAAAAAAAAAAATCATAATAAAACATACATACATAAAATTATTTGACATTTCTGTCACTTCTGAAATGATGGCTACGCCCCTGGTGTGACAAAATGTTAGCCTATACATAATACTTTTAAAGCTCTTTTTTAAAATCTTGGCTTACATAAATTTCTACATATGCCATGCCATGCCATAGCATCATTAAACTAGCATCTAACAATGGACAAAAGTGTTTTTTCCCCCTCTAACCCTGTGTAATTTGCCCCCTGACTAAGCATTTAAAGAATTTAGGGGAAGCATTTAAATAATCCTGTGAATGCACTTAATGGAGAATCGAATGGAGAATCGAATCGTTAATCGTATAGAATCGCATTTAATTGTGAATCGAATCGAATCATTCTGAAGTTGCAAAAATCGTTCTTGAATCGAACCAAAAACCTATGAATGGTGAATCTAATCGATTCGCTGTCTACCCAAAGATTCACAGCCCTAGTTTTGGGTTTTAATGTTTCAATCCCATTTTCAGGCTTTTCAACATTGATCTCTGCATGAGGAGGTTGGGAACCATTTCTACAAGAGGGCTAAGTAATGGCATCACATAGTCCTTAAAAATGGCACCACCACTTGAGCATTCCTTTTCATTATTTAACTTCTTTATTTCTCCCTCAAGGTTTTCAGCTTTCTCCTTAAAGCCTCTCTTTAGCATTTCCTCCCACTCCTTCAGTTTGCTCTCAGTGGCTCTGTTCATCTCCTGCTGCTGCTGCTCCAGCTCCTTGTTGAACTTCTCCTGCATCTGTTTTACCATGTCCTCATGCCGCACTTTCTCAGTCTCCTTCATTCGTTCCATCTCAATTCGTTTCTCCTCTTCCTCTTTAAACTTCTGTTCCAGCAGAGCCGCTTTCTCCTTCTCTTCTGAACATTCAGTTAAGATAGAAAGAGAATGAAATGATATATGATAAATTAACTTCAACTCTAAGTAATTCAGATTTAAGTGTTTAAGGTGGCGACATCCTGTGCTTCAAAAAGCCTAATATAAACTTACTTTTCATTTGTTTCTCATTTTCAGTGAGTTTATTATCCATGCAGAGGATGCTGTTTGCTTCAGGTTTCCGTTCTTTCAGAAACTCTTCCAGCACAGCCTCAGCCTGCACACAAACACATCTTAGACCAGTCGTTCTAAAATCAAGTCATGCTGAACTGGATCATGAACACAATTAATTAAGATGTAAATGTACTTGAGTCACATACACTGACAAATGTGACCCTGGATGACAAAACCAGTCATAAGTAGCACGGGTATATTTGTAGCAATAGCCAACAGTACATTATATGGGTCAAAATGATCGAAATTTCTTTTATGCCAAAAATTATTAGGATATTAAGTAAAGAGCATGTTCCATGAAGATATTTTGGAAATTTCCAAATTTTCCTGTAAATATATCAACTTAATTTCTGATTAGTAATATGCATTGCTAAGAATTTCATTTGGAAAATCGTTCTTGAATCGAACCAAAAACCTATGAATGGTGAATCTAATCGATTCGCTGTCTACCCAAAGATTCACAGCCCTAGTTTTGGGTTTTAATGTTTCAATCCCATTTTCAGGCTTTTCAACATTGATCTCTGCATGAGGAGGTTGGGAACCATTTCTACAAGAGGGCTAAGTAATGGCATCACATAGTCCTTAAAAATGGCACCACCACTTGAGCATTCCTTTTCATTATTTAACTTCTTTATTTCTCCCTCAAGGTTTTCAGCTTTCTCCTTAAAGCCTCTCTTTAGCATTTCCTCCCACTCCTTCAGTTTGCTCTCAGTGGCTCTGTTCATCTCCTGCTGCTGCTGCTCCAGCTCCTTGTTGAACTTCTCCTGCATCTGTTTTACCATGTCCTCATGCCGCACTTTCTCAGTCTCCTTCATTCGTTCCATCTCAATTCGTTTCTCCTCTTCCTCTTTAAACTTCTGTTCCAGCAGAGCCGCTTTCTCCTTCTCTTCTGAACATTCAGTTAAGATAGAAAGAGAATGAAATGATATATGATAAATTAACTTCAACTCTAAGTAATTCAGATTTAAGTGTTTAAGGTGGCGACATCCTGTGCTTCAAAAAGCCTAATATAAACTTACTTTTCATTTGTTTCTCATTTTCAGTGAGTTTATTATCCATGCAGAGGATGCTGTTTGCTTCAGGTTTCCGTTCTTTCAGAAACTCTTCCAGCACAGCCTCAGCCTGCACATAAACATAACTTAGACCAGTGGTTCTTAAATCAAGTCCTGGGGTAATGCTAGACTGGATTGTGAACACAATTAAAGTGTAAATGCAGATGTGCTTTCATTAACCACAAATTCAGATATATTTAATGAGGGTACACAGCTAATAATCATATACATCACTTTTAAGGATTTTTTTCCTGATTTTGCAATGTGAAATAGGCAATAGACATTGCACTTTTGTGAAAGCTGGTGTAAAAAATACAGATACTTTGCATACACAAAACATATGTTAATGCCAGATATAAAGAGAGCCTTATAGTTTAGATGCACTTGAGTCACTCACAAATAGACACTGAAAGTGTCCTTACCCTTACACCTTTGTTGGGTTCTCTGCGGTACTGTTTAACAATGGCATCTCTGTCTCTGCAGTAGAGTTCATATCCTCCAGATTGACTGTACTCTCCATCCTGCAGCCGTTTATTCATGTCAGAGAACAGATTCTTCAGCAGATCTCTGCACTTTCTCTCTGATGCCATCTGATTCTCTTCCAGCAAGTCTACATAGCACATATATACAGCTTCCTATAAACACATAAAAGCAGATATAAATCTCAAACATGCATAAATAAACTTACACAAAGACTGAAAGTATTAGAAAATGGTGTTTATATACTGTACATTGTAGACCAGTGGTTCTTAAATCAAGTCCTGGGGTAATGCTAGACTGGTGACTTGTGAACACAATTAAAGTGTAAATGCAGATGTGCTTTCATTAACCACAAAATTCAGATATATTTAATGAGGTTACACAGCTAATAATCATATACATCACTTTTAAGGATTTTTTTCCTGATTTTGCAATGTGAAATAGGCAATAGACATTGCACTTTTGTGAAAGCTGGTGTAAAAAATACAGATACTTTGCATACACAAAACATATGTTAATGCCAGATATAAAGAGAGCCTTATAGTTTAGATGCACTTGAGTCACTCACAAATAGACACTGAAAGTGTCCTTACCCTTACACCTTTGTTGGGTTCTCTGCGGTACTGTTTAACAATGGCGTCTCTGTCTCTTTTATAGAGTTCATATCCTCCAGATTGACTGTACTCTCCATCCTGCAGCCGTTTATTCATGTCAGAGAACAGATTCTTCAGCAGATCTCTGCACTTTCTCTCTGATGCCATCTGATTCTCTTCCAGCAAGTCTACATAGCACATATATACAGCTTCCTATAAACACATAAAAGCAGATATAAATCTCAAACATGCATAAATAAACTTACACAAAGACTGAAAGTATTAGAAAATGGTGTTTATATACTGTACATTGTTGTGTGAATTAGTTGTATTAATCTCATGGATGTAATTTATGTGGTCACCAGACAACACATGAAACAATCTCTAACCTGACACAGTGAGATCTATAATACTTGCAGAAAGCTACTATTCCCATTAACTCCAAAATGGCATTAATCTCTCATAAGCTAGGATGCATGCATGAGTATACAAGTATGAGTCGATCTTATAAATTTTTAACTCACCTCCAGTTTTTTCAGGTATTCCATTTTTTCATCTTTGAATGAGCGTTTTGTGAACTCAGAAATGGCCAGACGGCTGAATTTCTGGTGCTCACAGGTCAAATATTCTATACTGATTGGTAACGTATTCTTTACCTGTAAAAACATAGTGTGTGTGTGTGTTTACTTGAAGGGTATTTGTGCATTCATTTAAGATTTTCAAGCCAAAATGGGTGGTTCTGATTTTGGAGACATATTCAAAATATTTGAATGGAATTATTAATCTGTATAGAGACACACAGAGATGTACAGTGAAGGACAGAATTTGGAAGCATGACCATATAAAAACCAACTGAACTAAATCAGAATGTGCATGCCTCACCTCTTCCATTCCTCTCCGATATACTTTCAAAGCTTCTTGAACAGCTGCCTGGTTTTCTAGATTTGCCAGAACAACCACTGCATTGTCCAAACAGGGCACTTCACCACTGTTGATTGTGTCAACATAAATCTCAACCAGACGTCCGAGCACTGACAACACACACAAACAGTTAAGAGAACAGTGAATGCTCCATAGTATCTTCAAACCACAGATGAAGAGTTTAACAAAATAAATGTTTAATTAGTTTATTTATTTGTGTGATTATGCAAAGCTTATACTGTATCTGGAATGTGTTTAAACATTGAAATGAATGAAACTTTTCATTTGGTAGAACACTCACATTGGCCAGTAACTATGTGTCCTCCTTTCAGTCTTTTCACGGCACTGTTAACAAACATATTGTCACAGAAATGCCCCGTGACCTCCAGAAATTGTTGTGCAAGGTCCTGGTCTTGTAAGATCTCCAGGCGTGTCATGTCTTCCTGGGAGGTAACGGGAAACGGGAACACAAAACACTTCCGGCTAGGGAAATAACGCTTGATACATTCACGAGGCAGATTGTAGTCATTAATTTTCCTGCTCACACCTAAAAATAAATTATTCAAGAAAGAGAAAGAAACATTCACCAAATCAGTGGCACTAAGACAGTCAGCATATTTCAGTTTTTCAGGTATCATTCATTTCAACGTGATCTCATGATAATTCGTACATATTTTACGTAAAATGTGGTTCTATAAAACGTACATTTACGTACGTTTTTACAGGCACTAAAACGTACAATACTGACGTATTTTCAGCCTCTAAACGTACAAACAATTACGTATTTTCAGCATTTAAACGATGTTACGTATTAATACCTACGTATAAACATGAGACCAGGCTGTTCATTTGCACAAATGCGTACAGCTGTTGCATGTATTGTGTGTGTTGTAGTATCTGTAACATCTGTATCGTACCAGTTTAGCATGTAGTCTAGATTGCAGGCATCAGTGGTTGTTAAAAACCTCACAGAACGGATATCATGGGTCAGTGAGCCTATTCCTGTTTATTTTTACAATGTTTTTTTAAAATTCAAATTCTGCTCCAGAAAAGAAATTAATCCATCAGATGGGCAAGTCATTCTTTTTAGCCTTCCTGTAGCTCAAATAGTAGAGCATGGTACTAGCAATGCAAAGATCAAGTGGTCGATTCCCAGGGGAAACAAGAACTGATAATGTAGGTGAATGCAAGTTTGTTTGGGGGGAAAAAAGCATCTGCGAAATGTGTCAGTGTACTTCTGTCTAAAATACCTTTCTTGAGCTGGAGGGCAAATTCAAGGTAATCGTCATCTGTCACTTTTTTCCCATCAATTTCCAAATCCAAGGTGAAATCTCTCACAACCCAGGTGAATGATGGGAAAAACCTCACAAACTCAGAATCCTCCTCATCTGCTGCTTCTGCTGACCTGATCTTGATATTCTCAACGAGCTCAGCAACATAACTGCAGCACATTAAGAAATAACAGCATCTTGTAAAGTGTATATTTGTATATGTGAAAGAGGAAGTGGGTTGTGTGGCAGGTTAAAGGATACTGCAGCTTTTCCAATGCAGTGTTATCGATGGTGCCGCGGCTGTTGTACACCAATGTGCTGCTGAGCAGAACAGCCAGACAGAAGATCCAGCTGTCATTCTTAGAGTCTCCCTGAAACACAGAGTGTCTTCAGATCAAAGCAACTTCATTCAGAACACAATACAACTTAATACTGTTCATTCTGAGGTACTAATGGCAAACTGAGACTGGGAAATTATTATTAGTAGTGAGTAGTGATTTTGCTCACTTTCGCCACGTCACCAAGTCCCTCTGTGTCCAGCAGCACCAGAGTGTGTCCTTTTTTATTAGGGTGAGGGACACACCACATCCAGATGCCTTTGGTCTTTGATTCAATAGTGCTGCCGAGAGCAAAGCCTGAGACAATCACATTATTATTATGCAGTTACTGTTTTCAGATATTGACAGATGTACACACATTCAGCTTCTGTGTTCTCATTATCATATCAACATATACTGCACTTGAGAAAGACTTTCAGCATATTTCTCTCACCTGACTGTTGTCCTGCCAGGCGGTTCATAAGGTAAGACTTCCCCGTACGGTAGAGTCCCACCACAGACACCACCACCACCGGCTCATTGATCCCATCCAGAATGTCTTTGGCCTCTTTCTTCACGCGCAGCTTCCCATTATCATCGTTTTCAATGAGACACACTGGAGCTGCTGGCATGTATTTACTACAAGACATGATCCTAAGTAAAAACCATACACACAAAATTAAACAGACTTACCATACAGTGTGCCATACATTGAGACAGTTTGAGTCTGAGTTTCAGCATAGCTGTGATAAACTGTTTTCAATCGAAAGTGTTTTAAGATTCAGTTCAAGCTGAAAAACAACAGCAGTAACACTTTATAATAACCTTCAGTTGAAACTCATTTATAAGTGATTAGTTAATGATGAACTAATCATTTACAAAACATTCATAAGCGATTAATAAGTGATATGCTAACAATTTGTGTATGTTTTGTTAATTCGTTTACAAGTCATTTACAAGTGATTAGTTAATGATGAACTAATCATTTACATCATTTACATATGCATTCATAAATGATTAAAGGTGCTGTATGTAAGTTTTTGACTCTACTAAAGCGTAAAAAGCGTAAAAA